GTTGGAGCCCCTCTGGCTGGGCACTGGGGACCAGCTACAGACCATCACTGGGAACAGCCAGAGGCCTCCTCCAGATCGGGGCAGTCAGGCAGGGGGTCGCAGGGGTGGGGAGGAGTGTGGGGTGCCCAGGATGGGTGTGGGGCTCAGGCAGGGGCACAACTCTCTTCTGACCTGTGCACAGGCCAAGGACGATCTCACAGGCGTCTCCATCTGCAGGAAATGCATTGCCCCCAAGCCAGCTCGCACCCACCACTGCAGCATCTGCAACAGGTAGGGCTCTTCCCTCTGCCCACCTGGGACCACCAGCCCCTGGGACCCTTCCCTTGCCCCTGCTGTGCTGTGAGACCTGGGCCCCTTTCTCTCTGCTCTGCTGGCTTCTGGCCTCTGCCACAGCCTATGGGCCTCTGGGGGGTGCTGTCTGCCCCCTCCCAAACAACGTGCTTGTGCTGGCACTGATGTGGCTGCTGCTCTCCTTCCTCCCAGGTGTGTGCTGAAGATGGACCACCACTGCCGTATCCTTCTGCAGTACTAACCCATGGTGCTCTCCTGGGGGGAGCCGGCCCTGCTTCCCCTTCTCTCTGCCCTGCTCCTCTCCCAAGTCAGCCCAGAAGAACTGCCCCGGTCCCTGGGGTGGGTTTGGACCCGCAGTCTGTCGTGGTTACATACCTTTAACCCCAGAGCCAGCCTGGCTGAACAACTGTGTGGGACACTACAACCACCGCTACTTCTTCTCCTTCTGCCTGTTCATGACCATGGGCTGTATCTACTGTAGCATCAGTGGCTGGGAGATGTTCCGGGATGCCTATGCAGCCATCGAGGTGAGCAGGCAAGCTCTGGCCCTGGCTCAGCTGTGCACTGGGGCTGCCTGGGCTCCCCGGGCTGAGCTTGCAGAATGAGGCCAGGCCTCATGGTGACTTTGCTTCTGTTCTCCTTTCTCCTGCAAGTCCCCCAGCTGCCCTAGTCTCGTGGGGGGGGGTGAGGGAGAAGGGCCCCTTCTCTGTGACACGTAACTAGTGCCCTGTTTTCCATCCCCCTAGAGAATGAAACTGCTTGAGAAGGAGAGACTGCAGGTGGCTGCCAACCAGGTGGGACATCCCTGCCGCCCCGCTGCTCCAGGCAGTGTGGAGCGGAGCTGCCCTGTGGGCCGGCTCCTGCTTGGGGCCACAAGCAGCCCCCGTGTTCACCTCACGCTGGAGAGCCAGGGCTCGCCGGGCAGCTCTGCTACAGGTGCTGCCTCCAGCAGCGCGGGCTCCGGCTGGCGGCGGCAGCTCAGTCCCCACGCTCCTGGGGAAGCTGCAGCAGCGCCCACCTCTCACCTCAGCCACGCTTTGGGGTTCCCTGCCCCACAGCTGCTCCCTGACCTCCAGCCCGCTGCTTCGCACCTCGGCGCTGGCTCTTGGGTGTCTGTCTTCTGGCTGTCTCAGGCTGCCTCCCCATCGCCCTGGCCGTTGTGTTGGTTCTGGCTGTAGTCCTTTTTTGCTGTCCAAGCTCTGCATCAGTGAGGGGTGCAGCAGTTCCCCAGGCTGGCTTCAAGTTGTAAAGCAGTTTGGGTAATCCTCCTGCTCTCTGGTCATTTTTCAGACGTATTACCAGACCCCGCCGCCCACCTTCTCCTTCCGCCAGCGAGCTTTCCACAAGAGCGTGGTCTACCTTTGGGTCCTGTGCAGGTGAGGGGGTGCAGGGGCTGGGGGAAGCAGCATGCAGCCCCCTGCCCTGGCACAGGGCTCACCCTCTGCCTTCCACAGCTGGGCTGGTTGCTCTAGTACAGATGTCCCTGCCCTGCCAGCTCATGGGCCGTGGAGAAGGAGAGGTTTCAGCTCTGTCACAGGGGATTAGGTGGGGCAGAAGGTGCCATAGGCCTGGGAGGCAGCAGTGTGGGGGGGGTGTGCCCATCCTACACAACTGTGGGTACAGGGAGGCAGCCTTGGTCCCCCATGGCTGCAGCACCAGGGAAGGAGGACCCGTATGGAACCTGCCACCCCTTGCCATCTCCAGCTCAGTTGCGTTGGCCTTGGGTGCCCTCACGCTGTGGCACGCCGCCCTCATCACCCGTGGGGAAACCAGCATCGAGCGGCACATCAACAAGAAGGAGAGGCAGAGGCTGCAGAAGAAAGGCAAGGTGAGTGCAGCCCACAGAGCGGGAGGGCTGGCTGGGGCAGAGCTGGATGTGATGTGCCTGGCCCTGACCCACAGGTCTTCAGGAACCCTTACAGTTACGGCAGCTGGGATAACTGGAAGGTGTTTCTGGGCGTGGATGTGCCAAGGTAAAGCCCTGGGAAGGCGCTGCCTCAGCAGTGTGTGGGAACGTTCAGACACTGGAGTTCTTCCCAGGCAGCTGGGGCAGAGCAGGACAGCGAGCAGCCCATGCTGTGCGCTGCTCTGGGCTTCCCAAGGCATGGAGGACCTGGGTATGAGCTCCCCCCTGGCAAGCTCTGCTCCATCCAGCTCCTTTGCCAGGAGAGTCCTGGTGGAGGAGCTTGGCCATTGTGGCAGCTCAGGGACAGGCTCATGACCCTGGCTTGGCTCTGCAGAGCCAAGAAGTGCCAAGACTTCACCTTTTTGCTGCAGCCTCACCCCTCTTCCCCACAGGCACTGGCTCACCCGTGTCCTGCTGCCCTCTCCTCACCTGCCCCATGGGACAGGCCTGAGCTGGGACCTGCCTCCCTGCATAGCCGAGCATCGCGTACCGCTCCTGGCCATCTGAGCCCTGGGCACCACGGACGCCCCTCCCTGCAGGCAGGGGAGCGCACGGGACCTGCTCTACCACCCTGGCTCCCTTGGGAGCAAGCACACAGCACAAGGCAGGTCCCAGCATGCGTCACCGACCGGACCCAGAGCTGCGGGGCAGTCTGTGGGCAGCACTGGTGCCTGGACGCCTGCTCTCGTGGCTCCTTCGGGGCTGGCGGGGGCCCCCCGGGGAGCGCAACC